GCGGAGCTCAGAGGAGATGGAAGCCCTGTTAGGAATGACGCAAGTATAGGCTTTCAAGGCAGAAGGGCACCTCCATCAAAGGAACCTGGGGGTCTTCTAGAAGCTTGTCAGCAAGGAAATGGATTTTTCTCTAGAAATTTCAGAAGAAACACTGCCCTCATGTCGTCACTGGCTAGTGTAAGATCTTGCTTCAGAGATAATGGAAATTAAAATGAACATACGTGCAAAATCTTTCATTGGAAAGTAAAAAAAAATAGGAAAAGGACTTCCGCTTGAGGAACTGAAGGGGCCATGGCTCTGCTAGAGGTCAGACTGGCCCAGTAACAAAAGAAAGAGCCTGGTCCTGAGGCTGCTGCAGTGGGCCAGCGTGGGGTGGATCGGTTTCTCTGTTCTGGCTTTGCAGGGTGGCTCAGAAAAGCCTGGATGGCTTAGGGACAGTCCAGAACCCTTCCATAAGATGACTGCTCCTGCTCGAGGCATTTTGCAGAGGCTCCCGTGGATTCCAAGGTGACTGCAGGTTCAGGGCAAAGTTTGGGAAGTTCTAGGTACCCATTCTAGCGGGTAAAGTTGGCAGCTGATGGTTCTTGAGACCACCCCCCAAAAAAAAACTAAATCCCCAGAGGCTGGGGATTTAGATGACCTCTTGGTGTTCTCCATCTTGAAGGGGAATGTGAAACATACACTTACTTGCCCAAACCCACAGAATGGACTCAGACACGAAGCACAGTGAAAGTGAGACTGTAATACAATCTGGGAGGCAGGCACACAGAGGGCAGCTACAGCGAGCATTTCAGTCCCCAGAGTGCAGATCCCTCCCTCGTTCCTCATTGGCTGAGTCTGTGGGCTGTATAATCTCTCTGACACTGACTAAGTTTCATATTTCCTTATAGGGTATTCTTTTCTCTCCCTCCCATCTAATGTCTGTATTTCTCAACAAAGACTCGTTAGTTTATCCCTTCCCCGACATCCTGTTAGCTGAAGGGGGTCTTCCAGTTGCATGGGCTTTGAGGTTTGTCACATTTGCAAACCAATTAGGCAAGTTTAGTGGCTGGGAATTTTCCACTGAGAACTGGCTATTTTGTCTTGTCAATGGACCACTTTAAGTTTTTGTTCCTTACAGGGGATGAGACAGTAGATTTAGGGCTAAGAAACCTTCTGTTACTCCCTTTTACACAGATACTGCGGATGTGACTAACACGCCCATGTTAGCTGAGCAGGGATCCGACCCACAGTTTTACGGTCATAAAGGACACACGCAAAATGAAGGCAGCAATGCCAGGCTTTGTTCTGTTTTCAGTTACCCATTAGGTGCCTGCAGGCTCAGGTAGAGAGTCCTTGTTTTAGAGCAAAAGGATGTTTTTAAGTCCCTGACTACCTCAGAAGAAAACAAGAGTCACGCTTTTAATTAGTAAACTCCGGGCCCCGGAGTTGGTCTGTCCTCTGTCCTTCTATGATGTGCCCCAGCAGTTTCATGTCTTGCATCTATTTTTTTTTTTTTTTTTGAAACAGTAAGGTGAAGGCATCCTAGCTTCAATGCTATACCTTATTCTTGAGGTCAGTAAAATTGTTTAGGAAAGTGACAGGGTAGGGAAGAATATATACTATGTGTTTAATGGGTAACAAGTCCTGAATTAAGGCCCAGGAGTGTACTCGTCCATTGTCCCCAAGGTGGTCTGTAACTCTTTCCATAACACCTTGGTTTTAGCCTCTAAGACATATTTTGGACTTCAGACCTTCAGAATTTTAAGGTAATCAATCTGTGTTTTTTTTTTTTAGCCACTAAGTTTGTGGCAATCTGTTATAGCAGCTATAGGAAACTAATACAATCTCCAAGAGCTATCTACAAGGAATTATGATTACCATTTTCTATTTTTTTAAAACACGATAATATAGCAATGGCCCAAAATTCTATAGTTAGAATCTGCCTCATACTTTATAGCTATGACTGCCAACCACTAGTGCTATAACAAATAATATCGTGTATGTTCTCTTTTAAAGGAAAAATTATTAAGGGTTCCTCACAAATACACTGGAATGATGAACTGTATGCTCGTATAAGCTGAGTTGGCAAGCATTTCAGTTATCATTTTTTCTGATCCCCATAATTTAACAAATACTGGGCAATTACACAGAAGCAGGTTTCAAAGGCGAGTGCTGTGCTCCAATGGACTTCCTGATCTGCATATCTACCACATAAACCAGGACTCATTTTGTTCAAAAATCCAGAAGAGACTAGTGTGCCCCAGACATAGAAGACCATAGCCCATGTGAGAGTGTGCGGAAGAATCAAAGAACACAAATCCTCCCAAAGGGAGGGAGGCAATGTCCAGGCCTCACCAAGATGAGAGACCAGAGTGTCCGACTTACCCCTAGGAAACTTTGCTTTTGAACTGGCTTCCAAGTATCACTTCCGGCTCAGGAAGAAGACACTGCAATGTAATAGCCCAGTTTGAAGGCATTTCAAAGATTTTTCTCTCTTACAATTAAGGTCCTGGACACCACACCAATGCATAAATACTTATTCTGATATTTGGAAGTGGGAAATGTGTGTGTGTGTGTGTGTGTGTGTTTAAAGAATATTTTGGTCTTTTCTAGCCCCACTGAAGTACCAAAATCCTACACCCTTTTGTTTTCAGGATTTGAAATTTCACTTCCAAAAGATTTCAGTTGTGTTTCTCTGTTCATTTGTCCTCTTGGCTTGTTTTAGATTAATTGTGTCTGGAGAGTTGGCCGGGAGTAAGAAGAGCGTCAGAGGGAGGACCCTGGAAAATGAAGAGGTGAGGAGAGACTCACGGGGCAATCAGACAAACACGCAGTCTGTCTTCCTGACTCCGGGTGAGAAGGAGCAAAGCCTGCACCCGCAAGGCCTCCCAGGGAGGGTTCGCTGTGGTGAGAGGAACTGATAAAACACCCCTTTCTCTTGGAGCAGTAAGTACAGAAGTTGAGGCTGCAGCCCGCTCATTAGGAATAACAGGAAGAGGGCCGGGGATTTAGCTCAGTGGCACAGCACCTGTCTGATAAGTGCGACGTTGTGAGTTCGATTCCCGGTACGGGGGCGGGGGGCGGGAAATAACAGGAAGAAATTGCTCACAATCATCTCTGATGGGTTGCCAGTTCTCTGACAATGGGCTTGGCAATTAGTTTGTCAATTTTTTTTAACTAAATGCAAAAATAATGATAATCCCCTGAGAAGCCTTTGATCTGCCCTATCACCTTTCACCTGAGGCCCAGGAGCAGACTCCATTGAGTTTAGACGTTTGCCGCCCCCATTTTTAACGCTGCAATTAATCACCTCCCATAAGGGCTCAGGAAAACTCACTAGAAAATCTTGGCCATTCGCTTTGTGACCCTGCCCCACAATGCCTTTCCCTTTGTCCCTCAGGAGCTAAGTCAGAGACTGATCTCATAAAATACTTGAACTTAGACCTCCTTACATGAAATTCATTTCATAATTCAGAAATTGTGGCTGCCAAAAAAAAAAAAAAAAAAAAAAAAAAAACAAACTCTCCATTTTCCTCCCAGCCCTCTGACTTTAAGATGCACAGGGCGGAAACTGCCGGCCCCATGGGGAAGTCACAGCAAGCCAGACAGGGCTCGCTGGCACCAGGCTGAGTGGGCCTGCAAGGGAAGAGGAAGCTAGCATCCAAATATCCACTAAAGCACACCGCCGGGTCCTAACACACTGAGCTAGTGACAAGGACCTGTGGAAGGTCTGGCTAATTCTAGGCATGCACGACCGTCCCGGAAAATGCCATCAACGCCTTTGCACTGCTTTCTGTCTTCTGTAACCACCTCTCCTCGGACTACTGCAGAGGAAGCATGCAGTGGAGTCAACCCCGGTAACCGTGTTATTAGTATTTCCACTGCAGTGGCTGCGTTCTTTCTAATGCTTGAGGTCACTGGCAAGTATCCTCCGCCCTGTCACAATGGTGGGCACCAGGGAAGGGCATAGCGAAGGGGGTTTACCCAGGGACACAGGACAAACCAGCAAATCACAAGGCAGACACCTCCTCCTGAGGCTGGAGGGTGAACCCATCGCTTTAACAGGGGAAAGGCTCTGAGGAGGAGGCAGCGGAGTCCACAGACGCACAGCCCCTTTTGTGGCCAGGCAGTCACGTTTCTCACGCAGCCTAATTCTCTGTCCTCTATCTAGGGTCCCCAGGATAAAACAAACTCGGAAGAAATCACTGTATCCTGTGCTCGTGATACCTAGTGTGATGTGTGATGCGTCCAGGTGATAGACAAAGATCTGCAAGTGCACATCGGATGGTAAAGGAAAAGCAGCTCTACGGGTTGAAGTAACGGGGAAGGTGCACCCAGGGCGTGCAGGATGGTGCAAGGAGAAGCAAAAAGGTGGCATAAACATTGTGCCAGGATGACAGGGACAGGAGGAACAGAGATAAGTCAGGGTTTCAGATTTTAAAAGATATGCACCCACCCTGGGTTCTTCTCACTGGATCTCTCGGGGTATGAGTAACAGAAATGACTGGCGAGGTGCTCAGTCATCTCAGGGACATCGAGTACGAATGACGCTGAGGACCCAGGTGGGTTTCATTCCAGTCCCTACTGTGGTGCTCAGCCCTAACAATCGAGTTCCATCAAATTAATCTCCTAACAGATGCACCGTAATCTCTATAACACCAGTGGAAGCTGGGTATGGTGGCTCCTGTTTTACAGATGAGAAGCTTGAGTCTCGGACAGCTGTGATGATTTTCCCAAGGTCACAGAACTAAACACCTGGGGAAGCCAGAACAGGACTCCAAGCCCCTTGGGCTTTATCACTTGTCACAGGACCGTGAGCGTACTGCAGTGTGATGCCCCCATACACACACAACCACATCCCACCCACTTTACTAAAGAAACTCCAAGTCCACCTTTCTTTGCAGCACTGCCACTATTTCCTCCGTAGTCGCTGCCCTGCTCCATGGGCGCTTCTGTTTGCTTACATAAGAGCTTGCTTGCACGCAGACTTTTTGTCTGCCTTACTTATATAATGATAGGAAGTGGGAAGAAGCTGGAGAGAGGGAGGTCAGGAAGAGAACATGGAGGTAAGTGGATTTCAGCAGAGGAGGAGGAGGGGGTTTTGCAGTGCAGCCTTGAGAGGGAGAAAGAAAGCCGATTGGGGTCAAAGCAGCAAGGTGCAGAGTGCACCCTGCCTCTCAGAGGAGGGAGCGGCGCACGCAGTTTCCACAGAGCCAGGGCACATTGTCTGAGCTGCTGAAGTTCTGGCACGGAGCTGCTGCAGGTGGCCCTGCGGTGACCTGACCCTGGGTACTGAGCAGGTGGGCGGAAGGAGTACCTGGCTCAAAGAGAGCTTTTTCCCCATGAGCTGCACTAAGCAAGGGAACTTGTCACCGTCGTGTCCTTGGGAACATCCCAGTCCTTCAGAGCTTCACCTCTACAAACAGCCTGGGGATGCAGCAGGGCCGGCAAAGACAACAGACTGGAAATGCAAGAGGGTGGAAACCCTGTCCACCTTTTAACGCATACCTGAAATGTTTAAAGCACGGTTTGGCTCTGAAACCTGCTGTGTGTTTTCCTCTAAACCCCTGTTGACTGCCTGACCAATGGCTTCTGACACAGGCAAAATCACTTGTGCACCCTCCCTGGCTCTTGCATCTCGAGGTAGCACACTGGCTTTTTCAGAGTCCTTTCTTCTCCAGAGGGACCAGACAAAGTAGACTTGAGATGCAAAGAGGAGCATGACTCTGGCTTCTGAGACTGTCATAGTGGAGCAGGTGCTCAGTAGCATGTGCGCACACTACTGAGTCCAGTCACAGAGTAAGCGAGCCCAGAAGCACATACAGGTTCAGTGCCCCCCATCACTGTCATAGTTAGCTGCCAGCCCTTGGCCCACGTTATGCGGGACAAATATATATATATATATCACCTATTTGCCAGTTCTTTATTCTATTACAGGCAAGAGCAGAGGCTGACAACTACAAGGACCCTTTTGAGCAAGAGATTATATATCATACCATAGAAATACATAAAAGACAAATTATCCCTGAGATCATCACGCCTCCATTGACCTGCTCAAGGTTTAAAGCCAGCTGCAATTAGATGCCGCGGTCACAGATCTGCCGACGGCTTAGAGCGCCTGCATGTACTTTAATCCTGCAGAAATGGAACCAGGGTGGATTTTGCAGGCATGTACTTCGCTTAAGTTTCAATTCCGTGGGTCTGATTCAGAGTTGTGGGAGTTCGGTAATTTGCTTTTGTTAACAAGATCCTTCTCCTCGGTTTCTGCAGTGTTTACAATATGAGATCTAATTTGGGCTTAAAATACTCATGAAAATTAACTGCATTACTTTTGAAAACGCAGTCAGGAAGAGATGGAGAGGGAAAACGATGTGACACGCCACCAACTTACCACGTTTGCACATTCGCCAGCTGCTGTGACAGGACTCTCACGGACGGACGGCGCTCAGCCCATCGGTCAGGCCTGACTCTCAGACACAGCGACAGATTAAGAAATCTATTTCACCGTTCATTGTAATAAGAGGAATTGAAAATCTATCTGTGATGGGAGCATGGTGGTTTTATTTATTTTAACAGTTAAAAAGCATGAAAGACACCTGATGCAAAGAGTATGGGGCGCAGTGGAAATGACCACAGTGTGAGTGATTATTGTGCCTTTTTCTCTATGGTTGTGTGTCCTTGCTGAATGAGTCCCAGGTGCAGGCACCGTTGGGAGCACTTTGCTTACACAATCCCACGTCAACATAACGAGCAGGCTAAAGCACCGAGCAGGAAAGTAACCTTCCCAAGCCCCACAGCAGCTGGCCCCTAGGTCTGGAATTCAAACCCTACTTGTCTGGCTCTGCCCACTCTGATATGCTGCTTGGTCTCTTATGCCACCGAGAAAAAAATTAGAAAAGATCCATTAGAGCATGACAGCCACATCCCCTGAACATTAACAATACTTTAAATACCTTAATTTATGAGTTTAATAAAAGCCAGCCAGGTGAATTTCAAGGCTATAATGTAAAGGATGGATCAATCCAAACACATCTGAGAAATACGGGTGCACAGTTTTAAAAGGAAAGAAAGCTGCTCATTCAGAGCACAGGGATGTTAATGTGCTGCTTCCAGGGACAAAGCCAGCAGGCTGTCCCTAAAGAGACAGGTCCTGCTACCCAGGGACCTGATTTCATTATCAAATCATATTGGACCCAAGTCCATCTCAAAGGTAGAGCAGAAATAACAAGGTTGAGCTGGTATGAGTATGCGTGCCTGTAATTCCAGCTGCTCAACAGGTCAAGGCAGGAAGATAACAAGTTCAAGGCCAAGCTGGGCAACTTTGCAAGACACTATTTCCTAATAAAAAAATAAAAAGAACTGGAGATATAGCCTAGAGAAAGGCCCTGATTCAATCTGCAACTAGAGAGAGAGGGCTGAGAGAGCTGAGAAGAGAGAGCTGAGAAGGGAATCAAAAAAATGGAAAGGAAAGAAGAGAGGAGAGGAGAAGAGAGAGGAGGGGAGGGGACGGGAGGGGAGAGGAGGGAAGGGAGGAGAGGAAAGTAAATTCCCAAGTTCTAATTTCCAGAGAAAATTAGGTCTGTGAAATGAATCATAACATGACATTATCCATCTCATCCTTTTCTTAGGATAACTTACGGGGAGGCCAACCCATAATCTGAACAGATATTTTGAACATGAAATTAATATCTATGTGGTATGACTTAAAACTACAGTGGATTTTCAAGAGTCTTTTTAATTTATCACAGTAAAAGACACAATTCCATTATTCCCCCTGAAAATACTCCCTCTCACTTTGAACACACTTACCCGCTCATGGGGATCAGCACTGCAGAAGGGACACAAAGCTATCATTCCCAGGAGGTGGTACAGGGCCCACCCCCGCAGCTCAGGAACGGGAAGGTGACCTGCCAGAATTGTCCCAAGGGGGCCTGGGCTGGCCAGGCCTTTACTAACCTGACTGGATCTGGGTCACCCTGGCAAGTGGGTGGGGTGCTTCACTTCTGCTGAGACCACCCCTAAGGGGGCTAAGGTAGAGCACTGTCCATCAGCAGCACTCCCAGCAGTCGGAGAGGGCAGCCCTCCCTCCTGAAGGGGAAGATGGGCAACCGGCACAGCACTGGCCACCAGAGCTAATCCTAGAATCTTGGAGAAAGGCTTCCTCAGTCCCTGCTGTATGAAAAACTGAGAGGTGATTGGGGGCGGCGAGGACTAATTGGGTTCAAGTCCACTCACTCTCAATGGCTCAAAAGAGCAGGACTTCCTCCCTCCGACAGGGGCTGCCTCTAGGCTGTGGCCAGCTCTGGGTCTTGTCTCCACCGGGCTCCGCTCTCTGCCCTGCAGACATCCGACCTCCTCCCCACCCTCCCGAGGCCAGACCTTCTGTGCTGCAAGACCTGCCCCACTGGCTTTTCCCCACCTCTTCCCAAATCAGCCCTTCATCCTCTTTGCCTGCCTGGCTCCTTACTCTTCTTCGGGTCTCAGTTGAGATGCCGCTTTCCTGGGGATGCTTCCCACACCAGAACCCGTCCCCAAGGGCTGAGGTCCTCCTGCTGAACAGTCTCACCGCTCCCTTTACTTCTCCATCCTGTGAAATTCCTCTCATCGTTTTGTACCGCCCCACCTTTCACTGCCTGTATGCTCTGTAAGAGAAGGGACCATGTGTGATTCACTCAGCGGATTTTTCCCAATGTTTGGTACAAAGGCTGAGAACTAATATAGAATACAGGCCTTCAATAAGTGATAACTCAACAAATGAGTGAAGGAATGAATTCTAGCATGTTCGTGAGGGTCTAACAGAGAAGAGCTGCAGAGTAAACTCACAACTCTAAAGTAGCTCTAAAAATCACCCCTTCCAGGGTGAACCCACCCAAGCCTGTATTAGGTGCTCCAGTCAGATGCTCCCCTAGCCACACCCCTGCCACAGCCATAAATAGCCTCATCATCGCCCGCTAACTGATCTTTTTTGTTCCCTACCACACTGTAACATCCATAGGACCTGAAATCATTTCTATCTGATTCACTGTTTTAGTCCCAGCACCTAGCACAAGGCCTGGCACATAATAGGTTTCTGATAAATATTCACTGAATAAATAAAAGAGAGAGAAGTGCACTTATTTCAGCAAATTTGGTATGATATTTTCAAATTTGCATTGGCATTAAAGTGAAATGTGGAGGTGTTCATCCAGCTTCCAGTAGAGTTATAAACAAAAGGGAGGGACCTTGGTGCCCTATGAGGAATGCGGACAACAGCCTGGGGTCCCCACCTCAGTGGCAGAAGCCTCCTCTCTTCAAGTCACAGTGTTTGGAGGCAGCTGACACGTTTTGATCTATTTCATCGGTAATTACAAACATGATGATGTTCTACAAAGGGCTCCCTGAGTCTGACAAGATGTTGAGCAAGTTATGCACACAATATCTCCTCATTAAATCACCGTAGGATCTCTGTGATTGAAGAATTATTATCCCCATTTTTTGGATAATGAAAGCAAGTCTTACAGAGAATCAGTCACCTGTTCAGATTGCCCCATTGGAAATACAGCAAGAATCACAAACCAGGTGCGCCTGACAGTGAAGCCCATGCTCATCTTGAGCACCGAGGGAAGCTCCCTGTCTCTGGGACACAGTTCTCCAAACAAGTGAATTCCGTGGGCTATTTGGGCACAAAAGTACTACTGAAGTTGGCATTATTTTAATTAAACTTTTGGAATATCTTACCCTCATCCCAATTTCCATACACACACACACACCCATAAAAAGGCGACGTGGAGCTACTTACAATGGCCAGATGGGGGCTGGGGATTTAGCTCAGCAGCAAAGCACCTGCCTGGCAAGCGCAAGGTCGTGAGTTCGGTTCCTGGTACCGGAGAAAAACCAAAAACCCAATGGCCAGATGGTTGAATAAAGTATCCACATGCAAATTTTGACTGCGATGGGCTGAATGGGTCCACACAAGATTCAGATGTTGGAACTTAGTCCTCAACATGATAGGATTAGGAGGTAGGACCTTCAGGAGCCAGTTAGATTACAAGGGCTCTGCTCTCAGGAAGGAGAATAGTGTCCTTATAAAAGAGGCCCAATGGAGCCGGGAGCCCCTTCTGCCTGTGAGAACGCATAGAAGGAGCTAGCTAAGAGGAAAAGGCTCTGAACAGACACCAAGTCTGCTAGCACCTTGATCTTGAACATCCCAGCTTCTGGAACTGTGAGAAATACATTTCTGTTTCTTATAGATTAACCAGCCTAAAGTGTTTTGTTATAGCAACCAGAACTGACTAGGACATTGACTGTGGTCTAGTCACCAAAGCCATCCTGAATGATTTCTCTCCCTATGTCCTTTTGGCCAAGTCTTATAAGCAATGTGCTGTGCTTTGCAAAGCTCAGGCAGAGCCTATAGATTTTTCTATACACACCTAAGGCAGCGTACCTACACTGAAAGCTTGCAGTTTAAGTGTATGCATAGCCAGTGTGTGAGGCAGAAGGGAAAGGAGTGTCTCAGCTTGTCTCCTTGACAGCACTGCTTGGAAGGATGACCTGGTCAGGGTTATGCTTTTCATTCTGCATTTCCACACTTCAAAGGAAAAGGCAGGAGGTCTAAACCAAATGTATTAGAACATTTTTCTTTTTTTAATTTCTATGTTTCTGTGATAACAGGACCATTAACCAACAATATGTCCTTCTCTCCTGACAATAAAAAAAAAATCTTCAAAGGCAAAAATGTTAATGGCACATCTATCCACTCTGAGAAGCGATGTCTCTTGGAAGCTTCCAGTAAAATTTATGACTTTGTTATTCTCCCATTTCTCTTATTCTTCAAAAACTTGTTCAACACTTGAAGTTCTGGAGGAGGAAAAGAAAAGTCTAGAGATGCTTTCATTGTAATGAAGAAAGGGTTTACAAACCTAAGAGTAAGATTTCAGTTGGTCTTTTTCCTGAACCAAGGACAGCCCCAAGATTATTTTTTCCTCTAAATTTCCCAGTGCCTGGTTTCAAAGCCATGCTTCAACATATATATGGCACTTTGGGTCAACTTCATAATCCTAATAAGCCCTGTGGCCCCTGGCCAAGTACAATAAACAAGCGTGACCCTCGGCCCTTTCTCCTTGCCTGTACCCCCAGCAGGTCTACAGTGCTGTTCCACATCTGCTTCCTCAGATTCCCCTCAAGGTTCTTCATCTCTTCCATGCTTTTGGAAGCCCCCAAGCAGCTGTCAAGCTGGAGGTCTTCTCTCACAAAACTGACCTCCAAGCTGACACCTGGAGGTCTTCTCTCACAGAACTGACCTCAGTATCTTTGAAACAGTAGGGGATCAATTTATTTAGACTTTATCTACTGATCTCTCTATCTACTTTTCTCCCCTATAGCTAATTGTTTTCAAGCATCATGATTCCATATAACTGCCTACATAAACAACTCTCCTGACAACCGTTTCTGTGTGTCCCTGTGTCTCGCCAATTCTGAAGAGAAAGCCCTGCTTCTTGTAGGATAACAATAGTCAGGGTATTTTTTTCCTTCAAAGATTTTTTTATACTTAATACTATCTTTTCTTTT